ATGATGCTACCCAGTTCCTCGATGTTATCCGAGCTTCTGAGGATGCTGATATCTACGATGATTTGGTGAGGTATATTCTGATGGTTAGGCAGAAGGTCAAGGAGCCCAAGGTGGACAGTGAACTTATTTATGCCTATGCAAAGATTGATAGACTTGGTGAAATAGAAGAATTTATTCTCATGCCAAATGTTGCTAATCTTCAAAATGTCGGTGATCGGTTGTTTGATGAAGCCCTATATGAAGCTGCAAAAATAATATTTATATTTATATCTAACTGGGCCAAATTGGCTGTTACATTGGTGAGGCTTAAACAATTCCAAGGTGCTGTTGACGCAGCGCGCAAGCAAACAGTGCAAAGACATGGAAGGAGGTTTGCTTTGCTTGTGTTGATGCGGAGGAATTCCGATTGGGACAGATATGTGGTCTTAACATCATTGTACAGGTAAGTTTACTTTTATGTTGAATTACAAGTTTTAGGAACAGTTGATATTTTTGCACATTCAGTTCCCTTTTTCTTCTTACGTTGTGTATTGAAGGCCATTTGTCCATGATTATTTTGATGTTGTGTTTGTTGGCTTTTTTTAGGTGGATGACTTGGAAGAAGTCAGTGAGTACTATCAGAACAGAGGATGCTTCACTGAGTTAATGTCTCTCATGGAGAGTGGTTTAGGACTCGAACGTGCACACATGGGGATCTTTACTGAGTTGGGAGTTCTGTATGCCAGATATCGTCCAGAGAAGCTTATGGAGCACATTAAATTGTTCTCTACTCGTCTGAATATTCCCAAGCTGATAAGAGCTTGTGATGAACAGCAGCATTGGAAGGAACTTACCTACTTATACATCCAATATGATGAGTTCGATAATGCTGCAACTACTGTTATGAACCACTCTCCTGAAGCATGGGATCATATGCAGATCAAAGATATCATCGTCAAAGTTGCTAGTGTTGAACTTTATTACAAGGCTGTCCACTTCTACCTGCAAGAACACCCTAATCTCATAAATGACATGTTGAACGTGCTTGCACTTCGTGTGGACCACACTCGTGTTGTCGATATTATGAGAAAGGTTCAATTTTGGCTGGATGTGATTTTTTTTTAATAAATAGTATTTAGTATTATTTTAATGTATTTTGGGCTCACAATTGTTTCCTGGCATTTCAGGCTGGTCATCTACGACTTGTGAAGCCATACATGATTGCTGTTCAAAGCAACAATGTGTCAGCTGTAAACGAGGCTTTGAATGAGATTTATGTAGAGGAAGAAGATTATGATAGATTGAGAGAATCTATTGACTTGCATGATAACTTTGATCAGATTGGCCTTGCACAAAAGGTGAAGTACCTTTCTTACGATGTTTGTTTACTGTTAGGTCGGCTTCTGATTCTGTTTTCAAATTGCTTGTGTAGATTGAGAAACATGAACTGCATGAAATGAGGCGTGTTGCTGCATACATTTACAAGAAGATGGGCAGATTGAAGCAATCCATTGCCTTGTCAAAGAAAGACAACCATTACAGAGATGCAATGGAAACAGCTTCACAGTCTGGTGATCGTGAACTTGCCGAGGAGTTACTTGTTTATTTCATTGAACAGGTATCATAACTCGTAAAGTATTGCATTACACCTTGTTGGTCAACTGGTAGACCTAATTACAGTTTGCTCGATTCCACTTGTTGCTCTTAGGGTGCTAGTATAAGTCTTAAATCAGTGTAGTTATTAGCCATGCTGAATGACATGGAAAATGAAACAGATGCTTTCCTATTTCACTATGGTGGTTCTCTTCTATTGTTTCGGTATTGTTGTTTTTCTTTGAATTGGATGTAATTTCTTATTTGATGTTCATTTTACAGGGAAAGAAGGAATGCTTTGCATCATGCCTCTTTGTTTGTTACGACTTGATTCGAGTAGATGTTGTTCTTGAGCTAGCCTGGATTCACAATATGATCGACTTTGCATTTCCATATCTGTTGCAGGTGATTGCTTTGATGCTTCTTTCACCTATCTAACATCATTTAATTGGGGATTTTATTAGCTAGGCTTTTACAAGGCTTCTTTGGCTGATCTTATTGTGCCTTCTATTTGGTTTTGAATTGTTTCTTATGAGTCCGTATTTTTTCCAGTTTATTCGTAAATATACCAGCAAAGTTGATGAACTTATCAAGGATAAGATCGAGGCTCAAAAGGAAGTAAAGGCTAAAGAGCAAGAAGAGAAGGAAGTGATTGTACAGCAGGTATAAATTACAAAAACATAGAAAGTCGAAATGACAACCATGTTTTAGCAAAGATGTTTTTATCACGTTGTTTCTATTGCAGAACATGTATGCCCAATTGCTACCTCTAGCCTTACCCGCACCACCGATGCCGGGTATTGGAGGAGGTTTTGTTCCACCACTACCTACGTCCTCCATGGGAGGAATGGGAATGCCTCCAATGCCACCTTATGGAATGCCACCAATGGGCTATTAAGTCGTAACAGGTTTGTTCTGATTGAAGATCTTTATTTGCCCAAACCATATTTGTTGCTCCTGAGGGGGAAAAGGGGTTGGGGGGGGGGGGCATGCTATTAGCGGGCATTTCGTTACGATTGGACACCTTCGGATTATTAAATTGCTATCAGTATTATCAATTTGGAATAATGGTATTTTTGTGTTTTTAAATGGGTGATAATGTTCTGTAATATTTTCCCCTTTTTGTAAGGCTTTTTTTTGGGGTGGTGGTACACTACTAGAGACTAGAGGGGGATGGTCGAGGGTTTCATTCTTTGTATTTTGTAGTATTATTTCCTTCATTCCCATCCTGGATTTGACCTCAGTATATATATGCAAAGGAAAACACTTGATCTTGCCCATCGTTGATTTTAGCTTGATATATGAATATTGGATTTATGATACGGGATTTTAATTTGATCCGGTTTTCAAAAACCTTTATCATCGCAATGTGAATTTAACATTTTACATGTACTTTTACGTATATAAACAATAATATTCATTAAACATAAAAATGAATTGATTTATTTTGTTAAAAAATGTGTAATTGAGTTGAATTTATTGTTTCATTCCTATAATTGAACTAAAATTTGAAGTGTCATGCCTATAATTATGTCGAAGTTTATCTTTAATCATTGTACTATATATTAGTTGATTTAATTTTGTTCTTTACACTTTTAGAATTTTTAAATTTCATTTCTGATGCAAATAATAAGTTATTCGTATGATTAACTTACAACTTGAAATGATATGAATTAAATTTACAATTTAAGCATGGTAAGATCAATTGTAGAATTTGATTTATTTAGTATCTTGGTTAATGTTTTTGTCAGAGTACACAATTTAAAAATATAAAGATAAAAAATGATTAAATTATAAGGCATAAATTCATCAAAGACTAATAAAAATATGATCATAGTTAATTCAAAATTTATGTGTGAACTTGAATATTCGATCAAAATAAGATATAATTTTAAAATTTTGTTCACAATTTTGTACTATATGATGAAAATTGTCGAAATGATATTTTTTTTAAAAACTGTTAATTCAGCAAAATTGTCAAAGCTTTTTTTTTTTTCGTCTTCACTTAAATTGTTTGACTCATCAATAAATCTATTAATCATCCGAGCAAAGTACTTGAAATAACATCAATCTAAATAAACCACATTTTGGGCCACTTGATTCATAAAAAATGCTACATTTTCTCAGGACTTTTTTTCTATTTTAAATAGTACTGAAATTATTCACATTCGGGTTTTAAAGTATGCATTTACTCGCTGCCTTATTGGATCTGCCACTGATATTAGTGAAGTGTTCATTGCCATCTTTACAAGAACCATGGAGCAAAAGAAGATTGCTAGCTGCACAAAGGGGGCAAATTATATCTATCTAGGCCACTTTGCTGGCTCGGAACGCGCAAAAAAAAAAAGGCGACTGCCAGTGCCAAAAGGCATGGGAATAGCTGAGTCGGCTGCCTTTCTCCTAGGGTGTGCTTGCAATCTTAGTGTGCTCAACTCTGCTTTCATTCCCACGTAAAATACATGAACACCGCATTCCTCTACCATGATACAATCATTGTTGATGTGGAATTCAAATGACGCCTCCTCATAAGCATCGTCTATTGTAATCAGATTCTCACTAAACAGGATCGTCGCATCATCACCCTCGTAGGCGCATGGGTTCTTATCACCAATGCTGCACCTGCCACTGAACTTTCTGCCGCCTGCAGCTCTCAGTTGGTAATTACAGAAAAATACGACATATTGGTTTCCAAGGGTTATATCGGCCACAAGACTGACAGCAAAAGCCAAGAATCTGCTCCCGCTACACTCATTTGGGGCTAGCTTTAAGGTTAACGAAGAATTAACACTTCGATGCTCAAACTCATGTGCTGCAATTTCATTTCCCGGGAAACAACAAAACAATTGATTTCGACAAAAGATCCTATTATAATCTTGTCCACGTCTCCCTGTCCTCTTTATCCTTCCCTCTTCCCTCCTTGCCCATCTCTGTGCTATGGATTGAATTTGAAACACCGCGTTTGCCTCAATGCTTTTAATTGAATCTTGATTCAAGCTTTTGCAATCACAAAATAACAAGTAAACCTGTTCATCACCATCACCATCACCATCTTTGAAAAAATCGAATCGGTATAAATTATGATCAGTGAACGATACTTTTTCCAATGATGTGCAATGACTTGCATGCAGTAACCACAGATATCGTGGAGGCTCTGAGAGCGATTTAAGGCTTCTGCAATTACTAAGATCCAGCTCACGGAGAGATTCCAACTTTGAAATATTGCTCGATACATTGTTTACCTTTGAGTTTCTCAAGTTCAACTTTTTAAGTCCAGTGTGATGTTCGATAGAATCAGGCACCTCTTCTCTTCCCATGTCTGATAAATTTAACTCAGAAATAACATTTGGAAGCTCAGGAAACTTCTTGAGTTTACGACATCCCCTAAAGTTAAACCCTTTAAGAGATTGAGGCAAGGAAGTTCAATCAAATTTTCACACCCTATGCATACAATGCCTTCAAGGTTGATGGCTCCGATAGATTGGGGATCTTCCTTTGTTTCTTGCAATAAATAAGATCAGTTGTCCTTAAATTAACAAGATCCTGCATAATAATAAATAAAAAAAAAACTATATTACTCCATAGCATTATCTACTTAGTTTGTGGTGTATAAAAATATAAAATACCTGATTATCTTCATTCCAAAGTTGTTCCATATGACCGTATGGTAATCTCAACACAAGAAGATTTTTTAGATTAAAACTCGGTGACAAAGATTTGAAGGGATAATACTGCCAACAAAGATATCTTAGCTCATCAGGAAGTGATACACTTTCAACAGCTTCATATGCATGTAACTTTTCATTTCAATCATACGACAAAACCCCATGAACAAAGAAGTAGATATATCTAAGATTAAGCATATTGTCAGAAACCAAAGGACTTAACCGTAGGTTATCAATTTGGGTCATGTCTAACTTCATTCCTTCAATTAAATATGTACCCTGAAAATTATCAATATTCATCGGCATTCCATTAAATCACTCATTATATCTAGCCAAGCGGAGCCCGTATATATTAAGGGATGCCAATTGACACCCTAAAGTTTCAGAATTTTCTTTTTTACCCATATAAAATATATAATACATAATATAAAAGAAAAAATGACACCTTTTAGAAATGTTTTGATACCTTTTAAAAAAGAAACTGACCTCATATTTTAAAAAATATTTAAAATTCAAAATTTTCACTTAAAAAAAAATTCTTCATATAATTTATGAATTTGAGACCCCAAAATTTTTTTTATAGCTCCGCCCCTTATCTGAGCACTAGATACAATTAACACTTACTTTATTATATCTGAGCACTTGATTCACATCTTTGGGATTCCATATTCGACCGCGTTTTCCAGTGTCTTTAGATTCTTGGTGAATAACGTCCTTGCCCATCTCTTCAAGCATATCATGCATAGAAATACTTCCAAAATATCCGACATCAAGTAGGCACTTATCAACCAAATTGTTTATTCCACTTACTACACCCTTATAGTAACCACTTAGAATTGTTTCTACAGTATCCTTGTGTTCCCAGTTAAAGAAGCATGCTATATCAAGAAATATATTCTTCTCTAGCTCATCCAGCCCCTCATAGCTACTCTTCAAAATCTGTAAAATCTTTGGCTGTGCATACTCCTTTAGTTTATCTACCTCGCTTTCCCAGTCTTTTCTGCACATTTTATATAGTTTAGAACCCAAGATTTTAAGAGCAAGTGGACTGCCTTGGGCGTACTGCACAAACTTGTATGATAGATCTTGAAAATCAACAGCAGGATTCAACATCTTGAATGCAAATGAAGAGAACAGTATAAGAGAATCATCCTTGTTTAATTTCTTTACCTCGTGTATTTCGTCAGCTCCTCCATTCTTAAGCACTTGCCTACCTCTCCATGTTACAATAATTTTACTTCCTTCGCCAAAATATTTAACACCCATGAAATCTATTTGGTCGGAGTCATTAACATCGTCATGTACAAGAATTGATTTTATGTTGTTGAGCCTCTGTTGGGTTAAAGTTGACCCTATGGAGGGGGTGTCTACACAAGTTTTTGAGTTTAATAGTTTTGAAAGAAACTCATTTCGTAAAGATTCTTTTCCCTGTTTCTCTATTCTCTCTTTTAACATTTTGAAGGAAATAACGACCTTGAAACATATGAGAGATTTCTTTATACACAGCTTCAGCAAGGGTTGTTTTGCCTATACCACCCATTCCCCAAAGTTCTATTAGTCTATTATCTCCTTGTTTGATCAGCTTCAAAATCATCTTTTTCTGATCATCTATACCAACCAATTCTTCATAAACACTTCTAGACTTATTATTCAACTTTTCTATGACATATTGAACGACATCTTTAATGTATTCGGAATCAGGTCTGGAAAATGATTTTGAAAAAAAGTGAAAATCAAAAGAAAGACAAATCAAAATATAAGAAGAGAGTATATATTTTTATAGTTACCTATCGGATTTGCCTCCGTCTATATGCCACCCTTTTAATTTACCGATGTCAACAAATGCAGCTTTCCATCGCTTGACCTCATCAAGTGGCCTATTTGGTTCATGCTCTTCAAAGGATGTTCTGAAACTTCCACCGAGATTTCGTACATCGGAAGGGTCAACATGGTAAAAGATGGGAAGAGCAGTATGTTGTTGAGAGACCTTGCGCCCCATGACCATGATGTAAGAGAGTTCGGCTAAGTATGATTTCGAAGAAGCGTAGTTGGCAGACCAGACGATTATCGAGATATTGCAGGCTGCAATTGCTTGGGAGAGAGAGTGTGAAAGTTGCACCCCTTTCTCCAATTTTTCTTCATCGAAGAAGACATTCATTCCGGTGTCTTTCAAAGCTTGAAGTAGATGGCCGGTGAAGTCACGTATCTTCACCTCCGAAGCTCAAGAAAACTTGATACTTCAATTCATCAGAAGAAGCCATGTAAGAGTAGTGATTGTGTGAGGCAAGAGGGAGAAGAAATCACAATACTTTGCTTTGCTCGCCTTGTTTTATTCATAGACATGTTATCTCCCAATTCTAAAAAGCTTGGCTGTTGCTTTGTTTTTTTTTCTTGACACATACATATATTATATTAACATTGGATTCTTTTTCATCGTTGAGCTAAAAAAATATCATCTCCAGTCAAGAAAGAACCTAATATCAATCTTTTATCTCTAAATATTAACATTGTACTCAAGAGACAAACTTTTATGTTTAAGATTTTAACATTATATTCAAGGATAGATGTAGCATTTTATGCACTGAATAGTTGGATGGAGCCCTTTTGCGGCTAAGTCCATCTCGGAACATGAACCTACATCTTACGCATTTTTAGTGTGCCCCTTGCAGACGGTGAATCACAAGTAGGGTTGAAGGTAAAAGAAAAAGGAAATCATCACCATCCCAACGAATGATATTTCATATCAAATCCAATGAATTGCAATTTCAGGACCCTACATTTTGGCTGATTGGTGATGCTAATTTAAGCCCACTTTGTTTGCTTTTGTGAGGGCTCCATGAGATTATGATTAAAACACCGGGAGAATCAAATGAGAGACGACAAAAGAAAGCCACCAAAATCTTCCTTCTTCGAGATAAACTCTTGATAAATTACGTAGGAGGTAACTTGGAATTTTTCGGTCCACTCTTTTCTCGAGATACTTCGATTATATTCTAGATAAAACTTTTGAATTCTTGTAATTTTATCTTATAAAATAAATTTACAAATATAAATTCAGAATCAAGAAATTTGATATACAAATAATTAGGGATGGGCATGGTATCTGAACCCGACGGGTTCCAATCCGACCAGACCCAATAGGGTCGGTTTTTTTTTAAAAAAAAATCGGATTCGGATTTAGAGAAATAATATTTTTTTATTATTTCGAGTCGGGTCAGGTGAAATCTTATTTCATGCGGGTCGGATCTTGGGTGGTGGAGTTATTGTTCTCGGATCGAGTCGGGTGGACCAAATACCCGATCCATGCCCATCCCTATAAATAATGACATTAACACAAAATTTATACAAAATGAGCATTTTCACTTCATTGTGGGGTTCAATGACATCTTTATCTTTCTTATGAAGAAAATATAGAAAAAGATAAATGGTTCATAGATACGCAGCATAAAAGCAAAAACAAGACATGTTCCACCACCCCCAACTTCTTACAAATAATATCAATTAGATCACTGTTGAATCCATGATTGAATAGGAGCTCCCAACAATCGATTTTTTCCACATGTATGTCCGCACAATTCTCTTTGTTGTCCGTTTCCACCAAGCATTGCAGATAATGCTTTTGCCAAAGCATGCTCCTTTCTTCAAAAATCGAAATGAGGTATAAGTCTTTAATTTTTAGATCATGATCAAGGTGATTAAAGAACTGGCTCCATTCATCCATGTCCATGGACCATTAGCATATGAAGCTGTAAAAGGTTAAAAATTAAAAGAAAAGTTGTTGAAATGACAGCCGAAAAATGGCCAACACATGATTTTGGTTTGACCAATAAAAAGTTAAAAGAAGGAATCACACCAATCACCATCTTGAATATGAACATCACAACCATTATTAGCTCAATCAACAGTGCCTCAATCATAGATATGCCTAATAAAACCCAACCCACATCTCCACATTGTTGCAAATATGGAGAATTGTTACCAAACCTTGCCAATTGAATCTTCTTCTTTCATAGTTCCATGGCCATTTGAGCCTCCTTTCTCGGCTTCAAGCTCGGCCCGGTGCCACGGTTTCACTTCGTCGACGACACCTGGTGCTACGACTGCTTCCAAAAGCCATAGCGAAGCCGAGAAGCGGCGGAGGGATCGGATTAATGCACAGCTTGCAGCTCTGAGGAAACTGATCCCCAAGTCTAACAAGGTATGATTTGCAGAAAATTTTGGCTATTTGCAATGCTGGAAACTAATATTTAGATCAATTCTTTGTTATTGGACAAATTTTGTTTTTGGTCCCTATACTATGTTCAACTTTCTAATTTAGTCTCTATTTAGTTTAATATTTTTTTTAACTTCACAATATCATTAGTTAATCCAAATAATTAATAATGTTGTTAGACTACTGAACGCTATTATTTGTTAACTATTTGGACTAACAAATGAAATTATAAAAATAGAGAAGCCAAATTAAAATATAAGGATAGAATATCAATTTTGAGCATAGTAGAGGGACTAAAAGAATAGCTTGATCTTCTTTTAATGTGCAGATGGATAAGGCAGTGTTATTAGGAAGTGCAAAAGAGCAAGTGAAGGATCTAAAGCGGAAAGCAGCCGAAATCAACAAAGCCTTCATTCTACCTACCGAAACCGATGAAGTAACCGTAGATTGTGACATTCCCGAAGACAAGATGTTAATGAGGGTGTCGGTTTGTTGCGATGATCGGCCGGAAGTGTTTGCGGAGCTCATCCGAGTGCTCAAAGGGCAGAGTTTAAGAATTGTTAAGGCTGAGATTTCAAGTGTAGGTGGAAGAATCAAAAGCGGTTTCATCGTTTGCATGTTCAATGTTGGTTTTACTTGCACATAAAGTGTGGAGTAAATTTTTGTATGAATTATAATTATATAAAATCCCACATCCATAGTTATTGTTTGGTTTAATTACAAACCGATACTTAAACTATGCCATTTTTTGTCAAAAACTTTCAATTTTTTTGTCAAAAAACTTTATTTTCTTCTCAAATTACTCATAATATGAGTTTCTTCTACTGTTTAACATTCCATATAAAGATCTAAGCGTATCTGCAATGATTTTACCAAGCAATTGCAACTGACAATCATAAAAGCCATCAAAAACACAAATCTTAAAGCAAAAAAGCTCCAACATTAATCAATAAAATGAAAATGGTTCAACAAAGATACAAGAAAACTAAGCCATGAAAAATGAAAGACACCATTCAACCATTAAAACAAAATGCGCTCATCAAACAAATAGCCGTGAAGACAAAAATTAAAAGGACTACTTAGATCTTTGCCTCATCTCTTCCTCTTCAACCTTCTCATACGCTTCTTCTTCCACTGCAAATGACCCAAAACAAAAACAAAAACAAAAACATTTATCAAAGTCTAAATAAAAAATAACTAATGAATGGTGGTTTTCTTTTACCTTAGCTCTCATGGCTGAAAGGCTTCGAAATTGGTTTCTTTCTGCAGTCTGATCTTGGGTTTCCGTTCTTCTACAGAGACAGCGGCGATACTGATGTTGAATTAAAATCTTAGTTATATATATATAAGCGTAAAGCCCTAAGGCTTAAAGGCCTCTAGGCAATTGTCAAGACCTTAACACTTGGGCCACTAATTTATTTTATGTTAAGCTAGCTTAGGTCCAATACCTTTTTACCCAATTTCTTTGTTTTTTGTTATTTTCCAAAATTAATTATGCAATGTAAAATAGTTTTAATATATCAAATTATATTATTATACAATATATTATGCTTAAGTTATGAATTCATTCTATATATTTATGTATTTTTTTCGATTTTAAAATTGTATTCTTTACACAACTAGTATATAAATAATGTACATAGATTAATAGAATTTAAAATAATTAAATTACTGAACAAAAACTAAATGAAATTTATACATAATAAATAATATAATTTGACATAATAAATTTAATAATTATTGTTTCTACCAGAAAGTAATCTATTCTAAGTAAGAGATTTTAAGTGCTCCGGTTTTATAGGATATCGGTTTTCGCGCTAAGGTTGGTTAACTGCATGGTGATCGGTGTTCAACCTGCTGCGGAGGCAGTTGGTTAGCATTCTCCAATGACTGTAGATCCCTCGAGTAGTAAGATGAGTTTGAATAATATGGCTGGCTTAGAGTGGTTTGTTGTTTTTTATGTTGTGATGCCTTTGGGTACTGTGGTTGCGCATGATGGAAAGATTGAGAGGGAGCAGACGGGGTTTGGACCATCTGTATCCCAGGGGAGTAAACATTCATATGCGACTATGGTAGTGGACTTGGGCATAGTGGATGATTTTGCCAAAAGTTTCTTTGAAGGGATAAACATTACCTTCAATAAGGGTGACGTGGTGGTAGATAAAAGCGACTCGTATCCTATTATCACCTTCTCGGATAGGTTACATGTTTCCATTGATGAGAAAATGAAGTTGTCTTTTGTTGTACGTTTGTTGGTAGCTATCTAACGGTCCAACCATGGAGTCGAAACTTTTCTACATCCAAAAACCACCAATCTCAGGTAGTTGTCTGGATTCGCCTCCCGGGTTTGCTTTATATGTACTATATGAAATCTCTCTTTGGGTTGATAGTTGCTGAAATTGGAAAAGTGGTCAAAGTAGACTATAATACCAATGTTGGGGAGAGATGGAAATTCGCTAGGCTAGTGGTTGTGGTTGACCTGAACAAGCTGTTGTTACCGTGTATTGGTATTGATAATTTCATCCAATAAATTGAATATAAGGGTTTGTAGTCTATTTGTTATAAATATGGAGTCTACGGCCACATTTAGGATGCTTATGGTAAACAGGTGATTGTTGATTCGGAGAGGGATGCTCCTGCCTATCCAGGGCAGTCGGAGGAAATTTTAGGAGTAAGGGGTTCATGATAAGACTTTTATGGTCCATGGATGGTAGTAGCGAATCGACGACATCTTACTAAAAAGGTCCCTAGTGAATGGGGGTATCCAAGGTAGCCTTGGAACAAAGTGGAAAGTCACACTTTGATGTTCTTCAAAGTTTGGACAAGGAGAATATTGGCACGGGGTTAACAAAAGTCAATGTTGATATAGTGAGTTTCGAAAATTCTAGGAAGGAAGTTGGAAGTTCATCAAAAGGTAAGGATCCCATCTCAAATACTGCTCCTCATAGGGAGACTGGTTTAGCTAAGCAACATGGTCCTTCTAGGAAAGCTGGTTTAAACTCTGATTCTACCAAAACTACTCCTCGTAGGGATGTTTTAAAAGAAATTCCAATGAATAATTTAAACATTAGGAGAGCCTAGTGGGATCATCAAACGACTTTCATGTGGAGTCTTTGTCTCCAAGAATGGTTGTCCAACTCAAGCGACATGAACCAATAATCCCTACTAGAAATCACTCAGCTGTTTCTATTATCGAGGAAGGAAAGAGTAAGTCAGTGTCTGGTCGTAATCGTAATGACACAGGGAAGTTGGGTGTGCGTAAAATCAGACGTGAGACTACTTTGAAAGTGTCGAGTATTAAGAAATCGATAGGTCTTAAACGCTCTAACCACTCCCTAAATATTGATTGGGTTCAAGCAGTTGTAGCAAAAGTGGAGCCTCTGGTTGGAAGTGATTTTCAACAATCAGCCAACGTGCATATTCATGTCCAATCAGAGGTGGATGCCAACCAGAAAATGGTAGGTCTGACGAATGCCAAGGCGAGCATGGTGTCGTTTGATGATTGGGTCTAAGTGGCCATCATTTTTAAGTTTGTTTTAATGATTGATTTCTTTTTTTTCTTCTTCTTTGGAATAGCCAAGGGGTGGTTAGCCTGGCTTATCGTCGTCCTGTTAAACATGTGATGCAAGATCATAATCTGTCATTTGTGGCTTTAATGGAAACTGGAGTTAGTGGTGTAAAAGCGGATAATATTATCTGTTGACTAGGTTTCCCAAACTCTTTCCGGGTTGAAATCTATGGGTTCAGTGGAGGGATTTGGCTGCTTTGGTCAGATGCCGTTCAAGTAACTATTTTTTGGGTTTCAAATCAGTTCGTACAATCAAGGGTTCATCTGCTCAGATAGGGCCCTTCGATTTATGCTAATGCGGTGTATGCTAGCCCACGGGTGTCAATCATAAACAATATTTGGGATATGTTGGAGAATCTTAATCCAAGATAGAAGTGTTTGTGTTTTCTTGGGGGGACTTTAATGCAATCCTCCGTCATTCTAAGCATCGATTGAGAGCCTCTTCCGGGGATGAGAAGAGTAAAGGTTTCATGTTGGGGAAATCGAGTTATTTCCCACATGAACGTAGTTTCAAAATTGACCTAAAATATCAATATCAAAACCACCAAAGGTTGCACAGCAGATAAACCTGCCAAACTATTGAATATTGAAACACAATGGAAAAACCGAATAAAAAAAAATAAAGGAGAGAACATACCAAATTTACGAGGTTCGAAGAGAATATCGTCTACTCCTCGGGCACTACACTGGATGATAACTTCTCTATATCGCCAATATTACAACAAATGGAATTCTTTAGAATTCCCAAAGTGGGAGAATGAAGAATACAAGAGGAAGAGAGAACTTGTTTTGGGATGATTTCTAATGAAATACTTAGGCCTATTTATAGTTGAGTTTTAAGGACTAAACTTATAAATAACCTAATATTTTAGGGATTAAACATGAAAAATAAGTTGGCCACCTACCAAAGAATTTTCCAATGTGTACAAGTTAGCCACCAAATATGAAATTCCCATGTTCAAAGTTTGGCCACCAACCAAGATGAAATTTCTAATAAGTTGGCCACCAACCAAGATGAAATTTCCAACTTGCCAACTTAATTTCAAGCCAAATCTAACAAATCTCCACCTTGGCTTGAAATTACCAAGCCTACTCAACTTCTTCAACTCCCCAAATTTGTAGTGCCTCTAATTGCGCTCACAAGCGACGCACACCCGAAGGTGTTCATACTTTCAGGATGTTAATCAAGTTCAAACAATGATTGAACTTGATTACTGTTACCACCTTGATCATCATATCTGCAGGATTTTCTGATGTCGCAATTTTTTGAAGTATAATCTTTCCTTCTTCAAAGATCTCCCGCACAAAGTGATACCTCACATCGATATGCTTAGTCCTTGAATGGTAGACTTGATTTTTCGCTAAGTGAATAGCGCTCTGACTGTCACAATAGAGACTAATGTGACTTTGAACAACTCCCAAGTCTTCCATCAACCCGTTAAGCCAAATTGTTTCCTTTACAGCCTCTGAAACTGCCATGTATTCTGCCTCTGTAGTAGACAAGGCCACCGTAGATTGCAATGTAGACTTCCAACTTACTGGGGCTTTAGCAAGAGTAAACAAATACCCAGTAGTTGATCGGCGCTTATCCAAATCACCAGCATAATCAGAATCAATATATCCAACCACACACTGACCAAGTGTTTCATCCTGTTCAAAAACTAAACCAACATCCACGGTTTGTTGGAGAGACCGTATAATCCATTTCACAGCTTGCCAATGTCCTTCTCCAGGATCATGCATGTACTTGCTCATAACTCCAACTACTTGTGAAATGTCAGGACGCGTATACACACCATTGCATACATCAAGCTCCCAACTGCATTAGCATATGGAACTTTTGCCATATACTCTCGTTCTTCGTTAGTTTTAGGAGATAATTGAGAACTAAGTTTCAAATGAGAAGCCAGTGGGATACTTACATGTTTGGTCTTTTCATTCATGCCAAAACATTGTAATACCTTTCTCAGATATTATTTCAGTGTTAAACAAAGATTCCCTCCCTCTCTTTCTCTGCTTATCTCCATACCAAGAACCTTCTTGGCCTCACCTAGATCTTTCATCTCAAACTCTTGATTCAACTGAGCCTTTAATTTGTCTATCTCCTTTTGACTCTTCGAAGCGATCAACATATCGTTAACGTACAAGAGAAGATAAATGAAAGATCCATCTTTGTGCTTTTGTAAATACACACAATGATCATATTTACCTCTAGTGTACTTTTGCCTCCTCATAAAGCTATCAAATCGCTTGTACCACTGCCTCGGAGATTGCTTCAATCCATATAGCGATTTGTTCAGCTTACAAACCTATTTCTCATGACCACCATCTTTGTATCATCTCCTATTCTAAATCACCATGCAAGAAATCCGTCTTTACATCAAGTTGAGCTAGCTCCAAATTCAACTGTGCTACCAAGGCCAACAATATTCTAATGGAGGAATGCTTCACAATAGGGGAAAATACTTCATTGTAGTCGATTCCCTCCTTTTGAGCGTAGCCTTTAGCTACCAACCGTGCCTTGTAGAGAACATCTTTCTTGCTATGAGATCCATCTTTATTTGCAAATACCCACTTGCTTCTAATTGCTCTTTTACCTTTCGGTAATTGTGCCAGTTTCCAAGTATTGTTCTTTTGGAGAGATTGCATTTCTTCATCCATGGAACTTTTCCACTTATCACTTTCCAACCTTTGTATTGCTTCTTGGTAAGTGATAGGGATATCATCATCAACAACTG